CGGGAAAATATCAGTTGCTCATAGGTAGGCTGAGCTAATGTGATAAAAATGCCAATTCTACCTATATTTGCTTATTCAGTGCCATTTAATCAAACTACCAAAAAATTATTTTATAGAGCTAAAAAAAAAAATTCATCTGGAAGAACAAAAAGGCTAATGTGGAAATATGTTTAATATCATTGTATATGTATAGATTATATCAGATTACATGCCATCTTGGGGAGGAGGATGGGAGGGAGAGGGGAAAATCTTATAAAAATGAATGTTGAAAACTAAAATTTTTTTAAAAAGGTCAGGAATATCAAGGGAATTAATGAAAAGAAATGCTAGAGAGGTGGCTTAGCCATACCAGATCTTAAACTGTATTATATAGCAGCAATTATCAAAACTACTTGGTACTGGCTAAGGAATAGAGTGGTGAATCAGTAGAATAGGTTAGGTACACAAATCACAGTAGTCAATGACTATAGTAATCTATTGTTTGATAAACCCAAAGACTCCAGCTTCCCAGATAAGATCTCACTATCTGACAAAAACTGCTGGTAAAACTGGAAAACAGTATGGCAGACACTAGGCATAGACCAACATCTCACACCCTATACCAAGGTAAGGTCAAAATGGGTACATAATTTAGACATAAGGGATGATACCATAAGCAAATCAGGAGAACAAGGAATAGTTTACCTGTCTGATCTATGTAGAACAGAAGAATTTATAACCACACAAGAGATAGAAGACACAGTGAAATGCAGAATGGATCATTTTGATGACGTTAAATTTAAAAGGTTTTGCACAAACAAAACCAATGCAACCAAGATTAGAAAGAAAGCAGAAAACTGGGAAAGAATTTTTACAGCCAGTGTTCCTGATAAAGGCCTAATTTCTAAAATATACAGAGAGTTTATAAGAGTCAAGTTCATAAGAATAAAAGTCATTCCCTAACTGATAAATGGTCAAAGGACATAAACAGTTTTCAGAGGAAGAAATCAAAGCTATCTATAATCATATGGAAAAAATGCTCTAAATCATCACTGATTAAAGAAATGCAAATTAAAACAACTCTGAGGCTCCACCTCATACCTATCAGATTAGCTAACATGACATAAAAGGAAAATGATAAATGCTGTGGATGATGTGAGAAAATTGGAACACTAATGCATTGTTGGTGGAGTTGTCAACTGATCCAACCATTCTGGAAAGCAATTTGGAACTATCTCCAAAGGGCAACCGGTGGGGGGGGAGGGAAGGGAGGGAAGGGGGGAGGAACAGAGCCAAGATGGCAGAGTAAAAGCAGCGACTTGCTTGAGCTCTCCCCCCAAAACCCTCCAAATACTGGTAAAAATGGCTCTAGGGGGCAGCTAAGTGGAACAGTGGATAGAATACTGGCCCTGGAGTCAGGAGGACCTGAGTTCAAATCCAGCCTCAGATACATAACACTTACTAGCCATGTGACTCTGGGCAAAATCACTTAACCCCAATTGCCTCACAAAAAAAAAAAGGCTCTAAACAAATTCTAGAGCAGCAGAACCCACAAAAAGACAGAGTAAAACAAATTTCCAGCCCAACACAAACTGGAAGGTAGGCAGGAAAGGTCTCTTGCGCTGGGCTGGTAGAGGAGTGCAGTTCAGTGTGGGTCATCCAAGGAAAGACTGGACCTCAGAGAACCTGAAGCATGCCTCAGGGGACTGAATCATGGGCAGCTGTGGCAGTTTCCAGACTTCTCAACCCACAAACGTCAAAGACAACTTAGGTCAGTAGGAAAGGTCTATTGACCACTGTGAGAGAGAAGCTTGGTCCAGTCACTGTCCTGGCTCAGCCCTGGGGCAGCAGCTGCTTCTGGAGCTCTCGGCCCACAGACAGAGAGGGATTGCAGGGTTCTCTCTGCCGGCGCTGAGGCAGGATCCTCTTGCTCTCCCGTGCTTGGATCTGGGCTGCAGTTCTGGGTGGTGGTCCTGGGGCAAAGAGGAGCGTTGGTGTGGTAGAACTTGTGGTGAGAGTGGAGAAGGAATCCCCTTCACAGTTCCAAGACAGAGAAGAGTCCTTGTGTTCAATCACAGACCAGAGCCCAGGTCAGGAAAGGAGTGAACACTTCACCCTTGCTCATAGCACCTTGGAAGAACTGAAAATTTACAGGTCCCTAGAAGTATCTCTGAAACAGCTGCACAAAACCCCCAAAGCTTGGGATAGTACATTCTCCACACCAGAAGCAGACCCCTACCTTAACAAAGAGTTTAAAAGTCAAATAATTGGCTGGGATCATAAGCAAACATAGCAAAAACAGTCAGACCACAGAATCTTTCTTTGGTGACAAAGAAGATCAAAACACACAACCAGAAGAAGACAACAGAGGGCAACCAAACTGTGTACACCCTTTGATCCAGCAAAACCACGACAAGGTCATCAGCGATCATAAAAAAGGGAAAAGGACCCACATGTACAAAAACATTTACAGCAGCTTTTCTTGTGGTAGCAAAGAGTTGGAAACTAAGAGAATGCCTATCAACTGGAGAATGGATGAACAAGTTGTGGTATATGTAATGGAATATTACTGTTCCATAAGAAACGATGAGCAAGTGGACTTCGGAAAAACCCGGAAAGACGTAGAGTGAAGTGAGCAGAACCAGGCGAACAGTGTACATAGCAACAACCACACTGTGCGATGACTAACTCTGATAGACTTGGCCCTTCTCAGCAATGCAAAGATCTAAGACAACTCCAAAAGTCTCATGATGGAAAATGCTGTCCACATTCAGAGAAAGAATTATGGAGTCTGAATGCAGATGGAAGCATACTACTTGCTCTCTTTTTTTTTGTTGTTAGTTCTTTCTCATGGTTCCTTCCATTGGTTCTAATTCTTCTTTACAATGTGACTAATGTGAAAATATGTTTAATGTGAATATGTATGTAGAGCCTATATCAGACTGCATGCCATCTTGTAGAGGGGGAAAAAATTTAGAACTCAAAATCTTACCAAAGTGACTGCTGAAAACTAAAAGCAAAGTAAAAAATTTTAAAAAAACAACATCAAAAAAATTAAAAGGAAAAGCAAAAAAAAGCCTTAAATTTTGCAAGAAAAAAATCTATCTTTACATGTAATTGGAAAAAAATACTAAAATAGTGGGAAAAACTCTTAGCTTAAACCCCACCTTCTAGACGCGGCCCTTCCCGGTTCCCCTTAATGCTTGTGTCTCCCCGCAGTTTGCTTAGCTCTTCCCCGTTCATTAAGCAGCTACTCTGTCGCTTTCTAGTTCTTTGCTACCACAAAAGCAAAGCCATAAATGTTTTGGTCTATTAAGACCTTCTTTTTACCTCCTTGAGGTCCTATGTGCCCAGCAGTGGAATTCCTGGTTCAAAAAGTATGAGCATAAAATAAAATAAAATAAAATAAAAAAGTATGAGCATTTTGGTTACGGATAGGTGCAGATTAATCATATGAATTATACATGGGACCACTGGCTTTATGGCTAGTCAGTCAATCAGCAAGCATTTCTGAAGCACTTATTGTATGCCAAACACCAGGATAAGCCATGGAGACACAAAGAAAGGCAAAAACACATTCTACAGGAGAAGCAAAATCCAAACAACTATACACATACGAAGGCAGATCCCTCTCCTCTCTCTGGACACATGCATACACACACATATCTTAACTAAAATGCCCATACTTTTTGAATTATTCCACGGCTGAGTATGTATATCACTTCAAGGAGATCACTGGTAAAAAAGAAAGGCCCCTAACACACCAAAATATCTGTGGCAATATTTCTGTGGTAGCAAAGAGCTAGAAACGGTCGTTGCGCACTGGGGAGGAGCTAAACCGTGGTATAAAAACGTAATGGCATCCCACCCCACTATGAAAGATGACAAACGTGATGAATTCAGAGAAGCACGAAGAGACTTCTGTGAACTGATGCAAAATAAAATAACTGAACAGAACCAAGAAAACGACACACATGACTATAATGACATCAATGGAGAGAACAACAAAACAATCAAAACGGAATGCTGCGAAATTTTAATGACCACGCACGGCCCCAGAGACCCCTCTTCCTGCTTCTTCACAGAGCTGGAGCTCCACAGACATTCTAATACTAATATAATACCAGAATGTTTTAAAACGTTAGCTAGTTTAACAGAATTTTTTTTCTTCTTAAAAAATTTTTTTTTTACTATAAAGAATGCCTCTTTAGGAGAGGCTGAAGAGGGATACAGTGGAAAACTATAAGAGAGATGAAAATGAGATAAAATTTTAAGTTAAGAAATTAAGCAGGTCAGGTGATATTCCCTCAATTGGGTCCCAGACCTTATATTTATTCCTTCTTCTAATTTAGCTTGACTTAAAAACTTAGGGCATTCAAGAATGAGACACACAGTTTTGGACACGGCCAATATGGGAATTTATTTTATTTTATTATGCATATTTGTTACAAGGGTATGGTAAAGAAGGGAGAGAAAAGATAATCCTTGTTAACTGAAAAGAAAACTTTAACAACAGTGGAACAAGCTGTTGGGGGAGACAAGAAGTGTTTCTTCATCAGATGTCTCCAAGCTAATGCTGGTGAGCCCTTGCTGGGTAGTTTCACTAAGGGACTCAGTAAGAGGTAGGAGCTGGACTCTTCAGCTGGACTCTGAAATATACAGCTGGTTGAAAAACTCTGCTATCGATTCTCTACTACTGCCACGCTCGATCACAGCAGCCTTAGTGCGGTATAGAGCCTGTGGCTGGCATTGGACCCGCAGCCTCTGCAGCCCGGAAGAATGTGTCCCAGCATGGGCACTGCTGGCTCAGCCTCATCCCACAAGGAGGTGCTGGAACATGGATGCCCTATCTGCCAACCCTCCCAATTCCACACGAAGGTGCACTGACTTCTACATTAAATCCCAACTCCTTTGCTTATCCACTTCATAAACCTCAAGTCTTCAAGGTGGGAGCAAACCTAAAGAATAAGGCAATTATTTACTTTACACATAAACATGTCAATATGACATTCAGCACTTACCAGAATGGACTTTTGTTTTGTGCTTCTTTAAATTTTTTATATCAGTATAGGAATTTCCACATAATTCACAGATAAATGGTCTTTCCCCTGGGGTGGGAAAAAAAAGTTTAGTTTAAAAATCTCAACATTTCTATAGTTTGGTAGCTGAAGCAAAAATATATGTATCAACATGTATATGAACCTAAAATGGTTAATATTATATTGTTCTTAATTATAAATGTTTCTGTCCAATTCTAAAACTAAAAAGTTCCATGAAGTCTAATTTTTAAACATATAGGAACTCCTTTTTCTAAAAGCAAAATGACTTAATTCATCTTTTAAAGTACCACAACATTTCTCCTTGTATTCCTTCCATAAATTTTGATTCAATAAAGTAATGGTGCTACATGGTGATAATTTTTTACTAGTTAGAAACTTTCCTTACTTGGCAATATTGTACATAAGTTCTATTTAAATCAAGGAAAGGTATTAGGAGTAGGCTTAGTACTAAGGAAGGAGCCACTCTAACGGGACAAAAAAAGGCAACCATCAATGTCGTTTTCCTTGCTTTACTGTTTTCACCCTTTACATCAGTAAACATTTTCTTCATTTTAATTTGCTTTTAACTGCTTATGATAAGAGTATGTCTGTTTAAGATCTATTTTTACAACTCTTTGTACCAAAAGCTGGTTAAGGCTTACATGAAAAGAAATTACAGAAAGAGAGAACAAAGAACAATACATTCTCCCTAAACACAGACCTGTATGAGATCGAAAGTGTTTGTTGAGCTCTCCTGAGGAGATAAAACTTTTCCCACAAATACCACATATGTATGGTTTTTCACCTAGATGAAAAATAAAAGATAGCGAGGTGGTGTACTATACCAGTAAAATATTTTATCAATTACAGATTACCTCAAATAAACTATTCTAAAATAACATTTCAGTTAAAACCTCTAATCTCATAAAAGATGTTAGAGGTACTTATTTTTAGTGATCCAACTTCATGAATGTTAGTAACCAGTATTTTGTACTTTTCATATAATTAGATTATTTTCATATAAGATCTCATTTCTATAAATCTCTTTGGTAGAAACAAATGTTTCCTAAGTTTGATTTTTTATGTAATTTTAAAAGTTCATTTACATTTATCAACCATCAAAAGCAGCAGCCCTGAAAATAAGGTAACTAGTTACAAACAGTCCTCCAGAAAGCAAACCTGCAAAACATGTTTCAAATTAGGCACTATGATTTTGAAGGACATTCTTTTTAAGATTTAAAATTCTAAGTTGAGTAAAAAAAATAAACCAAGTCATCATTATTATAGATTTTTTTTTTCAGTTTATAGGTTGTATGGTATGAACCTATTATTGAAATAATGGACCTAAACAAGAATTTGGCTTTTATATTTAACAGTACACTTTAATGAATAAACTTGGGGCATCTACATTCCACCCTCTTGTATGGGACCAGTCTCTGCCTCTGCCCACAGCCACTCCCCTTGATCTCTCTTCTCCCATTCCCTTCCTTCAGTTCATGGCTCCCTCTCCCTCAAGCATCACCTTTTCACATCCAATTCTCACCTGTATGTTTTCGAGAGTGAGTTATGAGGGAACTAGACACTGCAAATGCTTTCCCACATGTATCACACACATAAGGCTTTTCTCCGGTGTGCCGACGAACGTGGTAAGTCAACGTGCTGGCCTGAGCAAATCTCTGTCCACACCTGTCACACACATATGGCTTTTCTCCACTATGCTTCCTGACAACAGAGAAATGCACAGTTAGAAACCAGCACAGGGTCTGGGCCCACCCTTGGACACTGGCCATACAGACTGGGGAAGCTTTCATAGCAGCTCCAAAGATCAAGAGTAGGTTTCCAAAATTGGCCTTCATTTGACTTGTAAGCATTTCTAAACAGAAGCCAATGTTCCAGTAGTCTCAGTAATAGTTGGAAGAAGAGATAAAAACTCTGCCCAACATTTTCATGACAGTTGAAATTAAAAGTTCTCTTACTCCCCTCAAGTGGCTCCTTAATGTAAAGGTGCAAAAACCCACGTATGGAGTTAGGCTACTGCAGCTCTTCCTCGGGTGCTTTGTTTGTTTAGGCTATATACTTGATAAAAAAAAAACCCTACACTTTTCATTGCTTTCCATCTCTATGGATGTATATATGGTACACCTGTACATCTGTGGGTACATAGGGAGGTCTGGAAGGGTTCCATTATAATAGGGAACTCCTAGGTGAGGAAAATAACTCTACCAATGAAGACTGGCACCTTCTCTGCAACGTGTAGATTCCAAGAGCAGCCTAGAACACTGGGATGTGAAGTGATTTCCCAGCATCATTGAGACAGAATGGTCAGAGGCAGGACTTGAGTCCTGGTCTTCCAGCCTCCAAGGCTGGCTTTATCCACTACACTACATGATGCCTCGTGTGTGTATAAATTAATTTTTAAAAATATATAAAACTTACGTCCCATCGGCTAACAAACATTAAAATGCCCCCTCTCATTCAGTAATTAATTCTCAACAAAATTTAGTCTTCAGAGCATTATTTCCAATAGGACCCAATAGGACCTGGGAATGTTGCCTAGTGACCAACTCAGGCAAGAGGACAATTAGACTCATGTGCCACTTTACTCTTCGTGGCCTCTTAGCTGCTTGAGAATAACAGCAGCAGAAAGTGGAGATCATCCTCCTCCTTTCCCAAAAACTCTACTTTTGTGGAAGCCTCTCCACATAATGGCGAGGAAAAACTGATGCTATATCTTCTTATTCAGATGTCCTCCTGTCACTGTCAGTCAAAAGACATTTATTAAGAAGCTACTATGTTCCACGCACTGTGCTATGTACTGGAGTAGAGGAGGAAAGGAAAAACAGGATGAATAAAAGACTAAGTTTGAATGGTCCATAAAAAATGTAACATCTTATGTCAAAGCATTCACATCTAACAAGAGCACCCTGAATTTACCTGTTCTTAAAATATCATCTCACGTGTCTTCACAATGCCCTAGTGGAGAAGAATCAGGCATTTGACCATTTGTACAGATGGAGACACTGGAGAAATCATCATGAGGTCAAAGTCCACACTGGAATCCACACTGGAATCCACACTTGAACCCAGAACTCCCTAATGTCCCCCCCCATACAGTACTATGTCCAATAACAGACTGACAACCACGGATAAACACCCTGAATCAATTTTTCTTACCTAGCATGAATCTTGAGATTGCTAGAAGTTGCAAATTGTAAATTGCACACATCACACTTATAGGGCTTCTCTTCACCATGATGCATGCGACTATGAAAAACTAGCTGGCACTTCTGAGCGAAACCTTTGTCACAGAGCTCACATCTATATGGCTTCTCCCCTAAAAAAAATCCAAAGAAGCATTCAGATTTAAAAGGAATTTTTGTATCAGACTTGCTTCATACAAAAAGGTAAACAAGTTCATCATCTTTCTAGTTATCAGTACAAAGGGCATGCCTAAAAAGCAACTAAAGCAGCCAGGACACCCTTCTCCAGACTCGTTAAACGAAGACAGATGGGACAAGAAGTTTGCACGTCCAAATTACTGAGCTCAATATAAGTGAAAATAGCAACACGAACATTCATTAGAACAAGTAACAGCAGGATAAAAGTACCTAAAGGAAGGGAAGGCAAGCACTGGTTACCCAAAGAAAAAACTGGTTACTCAGTGGCAAAGACCTAGAAGTTGAGAAGCTAAGGAGAGAAGCAGACAGACAGGAGCTCTGGCAAATAAAAAAATGTCTAGAAGGCCTTTAACAGCTTCAAAATCTGCTCCTCCTAATGACTAGCAGGCTAAGAACCAAATTAAACAAATTACTTTTAATTCTTAGAAATGACAGAATGAGTGCATTATGTGTATCTTCTGGGCATCAGGAATAAACCACGAATATCATGAAATACATATTTAACAATATTTCCACATTTTATACTTCTAATTTTTTTCTGTATATAATATGCAGATTTCAAGCAGCAAAGAATCAGCACCCTATGGAAATGTTTCCTTAAAAAAAAACACACTCACCTGTGTGAGTTCTGACATGTGTTTTCAGCTGGTTACACTGGGTGAACGCTTTTCCACACAGTTGGCAGACGTAGGGCTTTACCCCCTTGTGTATTCTCATGTGTCGTCTTAAGCTGCTGGCTTCTGAAAACACTTTCCCACAAGTGTTACACATTGGCTTGGCCTTTGAGTACCTCTGATCTAGGTCTTCTCCAGAGGCTTCGGGCTGATAAGTGTTCGGGACACTGGTTATATTAGACATACAGTGCTCTTTCAAAGCACAGTTTGGCTGTGATTTTCCACGTTTCTGTTTCACTGCTACTGTTTGCAAAATGATATCTTGTGTTGTAAAACTATCATTTACCACAACTGAAGTCAGCTGGAGTTCTGAGGTATCATTTCCTTGTGGAACTTGTTCTGTTACTGGTGAAGGCAATTTATTTATCTCTAGGAACATGTCAACAGATGAATTCTCTAAAATGTCACTGGAATATTGCACTGGTTTATTCTGCACGTTTTTCTGGGAATTGAAAGTCTTCTTCTTCTTTTTGGTTGGAGGAGACTTCTTTTCTAAAGTCACCTTCTTGGTATGTGCCTGAACCAAATCAATGGAAGTTTCTGATTTCTCCCGGTTGTTAAAATCTCGAAGAGTAAGGAGGCAAGTCTGTTGGTTCAACTCAACGTTGCCAGTAATACTAGATATCTCTGTAGAAGAGGGATTAGCAATAAAAGCAAAATCTTCCATCTTTATTTTACACTTAGTGACCACCTCCTCCACTTTGAGATAGTCTGCAGCCTGGTGAATTTCTTTAACATTCCAACTGCAAAGAAACAAGGCTAAATGACAATATTCTGGTCAAAGAAAACCTTTTATTGTTGATAATTGGCCACGTAATTTATAGTGACTTAGAAGAACAAACACACAGAGAGATCAATAAATATATCAGTAAATTAATTTAGAACAAGGAACAAATACAAAATTATAACCTCCATCTTACAGGCAATGAAAACATATATCAATAAATAGGCAAAGTTAGGTACTGTCCACAACATAAATTAATATAGTAAATATTAGCATTTTACTAGACACTTTTATAAGGGGGGGTATATACAGGTACTCCAGGTTATGAACACTTGACTTCCCATTATCCTGTTCATACAGGAAAGAGTGTTGGTCTCAGAATCACTGAGAAGGGTCATAGCAAATCCCATAACTGACTGTGAATCTCTAGTATAAAATACCTGGCAAGTGGTCACCCAGCCTTTGCCTGAAGACTTCTGCCAAGAGGCCTTCCTGAGAAGGCCTGCCCTATGCTGAGATGGGCTAGCTCCATGAATCTCAATCTGCCGTTTTTGCCAATCCACCCCTTGCTTCCAGTTCTATTCTCTGGAGCCAAGCCAAGCCAGTTCTATTCTCTCACCCATGGGATCCCCCTTCTCACCTTCCATGAAAGCTAACACCGTGGCTGGAGTTGGTCACTGGCTGCAATCACCAAAAAGGATCTGGCCTCGTGGGTCTTTTCAGCACTTATTCTTCCCCTTTGGGAGGAAGGGGAGGAAAATGGGTGGAGAACAAACCTTACCCTCTAACTGCTTGCAAGGGGAATGAGCAGTGTAGTAGAGGGCTAGTGCCCAGCTCAACAATTACTTACTGAATGGCACTGTGTGTAGAGCATTTCCAGGAGGTCTTAGACATGTTCACCATAACTTCACCCTAAGCTTAGAACCTTGCAGTCCTGGTTTTAATTAACTATTTAGTCATTTAACTCTCTTTATCAATAGACTGAATAGATAAGCTCTAAACTCATACAATTACTTTCCCACAAACATTTCCTAGAGTTTTCTGAGGTCTCCTCTCCCTTCTAACTCTCAGGAAAATCTCTCCCTCTTTGTTTCTCTATAAGCAGGAAAAAAATCTTAATGATGGCTAAGCTAAAACAATATTAGTGATACAACTGCACTACAGAAAAATAAATTCTTAAGTTTATTCTTTAAATAGTGCCAAATATGAAAGTACTTGAAATTACTACCTTCCTTGGCTTCCTCTAATTGACCCTCCTTTCCTTCAAGTATCAATAATCTAAATAAACTGTCATTAAATGTGTCCTTTTTTAATTACTGCTTTCTAAAATTTTTCATTATTAAATATAATAGTATTTCCACCCTAACACAGGTTAAGCCTTGCATGGGCCAGCCTGAAAACTTCAGTGCATCTTAACTTCCAAAGGAAGGGTGCTGGCATATCAAGAGAACATTACCTCTGGAGTCAAGGACAGGGGCTCCTATCTGCCTCAGACACTGACTACCAGTGGACCCTGGGGCAAGTCACTTCAGGCCTCTCTGCCTCATTTTCTCCATCTGTAAAATGAGGGCCAGGGCCGGGCTTAATGGCCTCTAAAATCACTCCAGCTCTAAAGCTAGGATGCTATAACATTCAAATATATTTTTGTTAACTTGGGGATTTTCTGTGTAAGCAGAGAGATAGTATAAAAGGTAACTCATTTCTCTTTTTGGACTGTGGTTAGGTCTCTGGAACTTAAAAACGAAAAATCATTGTATGAAAAGTTTAATTATAAACTTTAAAACAATATAGATGCCAAAGAAAATTTGCCAATTGTGTACTTCTAACAAAAAGTATCTTAACACTTATACTGACCTTTGTTAAGTCATACTTAAGATTCACAAAGAACCATCATCACTTTCACGCTTAGTTATATTTCACCAATGAGAAAACAAAAGGTTCCTCTTGAGCAGTAAAGTTAAGTTAGGGACAGGGCTGAACTGTAATATGACTTGTCAGATTTTCTAAGCCAAACAAAATCTGACCTTAAAACCTCAAATTATAACTCTGCATATTCTCCAAAATGAATCACAGGATCCTAGCTAATTTGATCCAGTTGGCCTTGGTAATCCATGTGAAATGCCATCATCCCTTCAAGTTAAGAATGGAAACAGGAATCCAGGCAGCTTAACTATACTGAAATCCATCATCCAACTATACTGAAATGCCATCTAAATTTTCTGACATTCAAAAATAAAAGCTCACATAAGTCATTCATACCACTATTATGGATCTTTTACTTTTTAGGTATTAGTATAATTAATTTCTTTTCTGGGCTTCCATTTTGGGATGGTCACCCACACTGTCTACACAGAAAAGACTGCTGCAATTTTTCAAAAAAATCTTCTCTTACAGCTCCTGCTGAACCGAAGTAAACAACTTACTCTGTGATGCTGGAAAGACACAAAACGCCATTAGAAGAAAGGACCTCTTTAGTAGTAAGCCTTCACGTTTTTGTTTTTGAGAGCTGGCTCTTTTTGGCTGCTTGCTTGTTTGGAACAAACTACAAGCAGGTGGGTGAAGGGCAGCACAGCCTGCGATGCTCTTCATTACTCAACAGCGTGGTTAGGTGGGAAAAGTGGAAGACTTTTCATGCCACAAAAGCTCTGGTTTGAGGCAGTACTCGAACCCAGATTTTCCTAACTCAGAGGCTAGTTGTCTATCCACTAGATCACACTGTCTTCTCTAATCAGAGGGAAGTTTTCTCAGTTATAAATACTTATACCAGCAACCCAGGGTTGTTGTGAGATTCAAATGAAATCATATTTCATGTAAAGCAAGTTGTAAAACTACAAAGGTTAGCTAGGAATCTTTTTATGAAGCTTTATCAATTCCTATATCAGAGGCACATTTAATATCAAAAATTCAAGATAAAATACTTTCTAAATCCAAGTGTAAATTAGTTCGTATTTTCTATCATTTGGTTATTATCCTTGCCATCACTCCTATCTACAAACGGGATAAAACTTGTTTATAAGAATGAAGATGTACTTTGCAAAAGGTTTTCCTTTAAACACAGCTAATTCCTATAGTGATAAAATGCCCAGGGCAGCACAGATCTGCTTTTCACAAGAAATCAAAAGATATTTCCCATCCCTTTGATTCTTTCTCTATCCTAAGACTCTATATGATCATATAGATACAATTTTCCCTACAGGGTTTAAGACATAAGGGAATCAGTAGAGAAATCTTTTTACCATATTACTTTAACAAAACAAAACAAAAAAACAAACTTTAGAAAACTTCCAAAGGTTTGTTTCAGGGATGGTAAAGAAGGGGAGAAAAACCCCTGAAACTCTATTCTTTCCTTCAATAACCCCAGAGGGAAACTCTTTCAGAATCAACAGGTGGCAACAGGAAAAAGGGATGGCCACAGAAACCAAGAATTATCCTCCCCATTCTACCAGTCTGTACAGCAGCAGAGACCACAAAGGGCATTAGCTTCTTTCAGACAGACTGAAGTTGTGCCTGCCCCCGCAGCCCTGGCTATCCAGCCCAACACTGGCTGTACCTTCTGTCACACATGACCTCCCCCACCCCCACTGGTCCTAGAGGGGGAGTCAGAATACTCCTCCATCCTTTGTCCCTTCCAGGCAGCCCCTCTGCCTCCTTCACTCAATAACCCCTCCTTCTTTTGAAGTCTACTCATTCAAGATTATGTTGGCTGTAGGATTCTGACCTCCCTCCCTCCGGGACATTTTCCTCTTTTCTCAAGGAGCTCTACTCCTGCTTCACCACCTTCTCCTCCCCAACTCCTGCCCTTGTACTGGGGGCAAGTTCATGGACATTCTCCCTCCATAACTCCCACCAGCCCTCCCACATCCTACCCCTCTCGCTCCATCCCACACTGGGCCCTGCTATTACCACTCTGCTAATTCTGATCCTAATCTCCTATTCCTGTGCTTTCCCCTTCCCACAGCTGCTGCTCATCACCACCGACATTCCCACACCTCTCCCCCTCAGTAGTTCATAATCCCTGCTCCATCCTCAAACCAACAATTAGACAGTTCAACTCTGCACTGTCTTCAATCCCTGAGCCCCCAACAGTGCCCCCCGCAAGCAACACCCCACATTGGCCTCCTCTACTTTCTCTCCTCACAAGCAGCTACTGACAATCATGCTGCCTGGGCACATTATAAATTCAAGTTATTCAACCCCACTTGGGGCCAGGCAATCTTTATTCCTCACAAATCTATTCCCAATCTCCACAAGCCACCCCAAACCTTTTCTTCTTCCCTAAAGCTCCCCACATGGGGATCTTATCAATTCAGCACAAGCTTCCCCTCCTCTCCTCTTCATCTCCATCATCTTCCACCTACCTCCTTTTCCCCCAGGCTCTGACAAAGAGGGGACCCTTCTTGCCAAGACCACCCTCTATCCGTGACTGGCTATCCCTCCCATCTTCTCCAGCAGAGTGTATCCTCAATTGTAGGCCCTCCTTCTCAAATCTCCAAGCTCTACCCAACTGGTTCCTTCTCTGCTGCCATTACATACATTCCAGTCTCCCTATCCTTAACACCTTTCACTAGACCCTACCATCCCTTCAAGCTACACCCTCCCCCTCCAGCTCTTCCCCTCTTCTCAGCCAGACCCTTTGAAGAAGCTGTCAACACATTTGGCCTCTCCTCCCCCTGCTCTATGAACCTCATCACTCGGTAAGGTTACCTACGACCTCTGAATTGCCAAATCTGCTTTGTCCTAATCCTGCTAGATCAGTCACTGACACTGGGCATGGTTCTCTTCTGGTTTGCCTTCTCCCACCTGGCTGATAGCTCCTTCTCAGTTTCCACAGAACATCCCCCAACTGTGGGTGATCCCCTAGGTTCTGTCCTGGGCCCTTTCTTTTCTACCCCCAAACCTTCTCTTGCTCACGTCATCAGCTGCCATGGGTTTGATGGTCATTTCTATGCAGACTCCCAGGTTCACACATCTAGCCCAGTCTCACATCAAACAAGACGTCTTGGAGAGGTCATAAATTCAACAAGTCTAAAATCCAATGAGATATCTGTAAAGTGCTTAGCACGGGGCCTGGCATGCAGGACACACGACAGAAATGCTGCTGCATTCTTTCCCCCTAAACCCTCCCTTCCAAGCTTCCCTATTTTATTGAAGGAACTCCCACCTTCCTACTGCTTCAGGGCTGTAATCCTGCCATCATCCCCTGCCCCCCACCTTCCCTCACCCGCATATATCCAACTGGTGGCCAAATCTTGCCATTTCTTCCTTCACAACACCTCTCTCACCTGACCCAGGTGCCATACAGGTCAGGCCCTTACTATGGTACCCTTGCCAAGATCATCCCAATAGCCTCCTCCAGCGTCTCCCTGCCTCCCGCTGCCTCCTCTCCAGTCCACCCTACGCACTACTGCCAAAGTAACTTTCCTGGAACACAGATTCGAGCTGGTGCAACCAATTCCAGGGGTTCCTTAGTGCCACGGGAACAACACACAAATTTCTTAGAGCCCTACAAGATCTGGCCACAGCGCCCCCCCTTCTACCTGCATTCAAGCCAAACTGGCCTCACCTGGGCTCCTCACCATACTCCCATTTCCTGTCTGCCAGGCAGAGAAAGCAAGGCCTCCTTAGCCAAGCCCCAGAGTCCATGTTCTGCTGGAAGCCTTTCCTAATCACAACTGCTGTTGCCCTAACTATCCCAAACTACTCTGTATTTAACTGGAGTGTGTGCTTGTTAACTTCATGTCTACAAGGCACAGCCTTTTATATGTGCTTGTCCCCCTCAACACATCATCATTAATTTTGGACAGGGATTGCTTCATTCTTTGTCCTCCTTTCTGACGAGTGCCATTTGTCAGTGGACACAAAGGTGGCAGAAGGGACTGGCACTGAAGGCAATCCTGTGCCAACCTCCAGAACACCAAGTGCAGAGAGCACTTCCCTGCAGCACAGAGACAGGGAGCCTGGAAGAACACAAAACCATTCAAAAGCACTAGCCAATTCTGTCCCGATGGGAGGAAAAGAAGAGTGAAATCTGGTGCTCAGTCGGATTTTGTCTCTGCTCTTCCATTATTCATATTAAAATTTACTTTGGTTCATTTTTGTTAAGAGAGCAGATGTAAAGAGTCAGAAACAAACTTCTAATTCCAGGGCTAAATATCTTTGCTTTCTGGACTTGTGAAATATGCTGTCTTTGTACTCCTTTGGACCAGCATACTGCTGAAGCCCCTCTTTGCTCTGCCTTATGAGGGTCATGCTCATCAAATCTCCAGATGACAAGAATCTGGAAATACAAATTGGGATGAAAAAAGATTTCAAAAAGTTGGGAAAATGAGCCAAACTGAACATAAAGAAATGTAACAGTGATAAATGTAGAGACCCCTTCCGTACACAAGTACAGGATGAGGAAATGCCTGCTAGACAGCCGTGCACCGGGCAGAGACCAGGGGTCTTAATGGACTGTCCGTGGCACATCAGCCCCAAAACCTAATGCAATCTTAGATGAGAACCCCGCTTTACTGTTCCCCCTTCTGCAGTGGGGGGTTGGGGTGAAAAGCTGTGATGCTGAGCCTAGGGAAAGGAAGTTCTTCTGAAGATGACTTGACCCCAAAGGGGAACCTCTGGGCCTAAGTTACAGAGAGGCAGGTTTCAGCCTCTCTGAAAGGGAAGGAAGCTCGGAAGGTGGGGGGGTGGGGCGGCCCACCTCCCCAGCCAAGGTGGCTCCCCCAGCGCCCGGCCGCCCCTACCTGTCCAGGTGCAGCGTGCCCGTGTAGATGAACTCGAGCAGCTTCTGGAAGCCGTCCGCCTTCACCTGGCTCTGGTCCAGGAAGACATCGCTGTGCGGGGAATCCCGATACACTGCCCCGAAGTACTCGCTGAACGAGGCCAGCACGTTGCGGTGCGCTCGGAACTGCTGCTCGCCGATGACCACGGTGCAGTCGCACAGGAAGCCCGCCTCGCGCTGCGCGTTCAGCCGCTCCAGGAGGTGCCCGCAGTGGTGCGACGGCCGCATCCTGGGGCTGGGCTGGGGTCTGCGCGCCGGGCCGCCTGGGGGGGAGGGGGGCACGGGGGTCAGACCCACCGGACAGGTGGAGGGACTGGGGCGGAGGGGAGGTTCTGACCCACTGGACGCAGCCAGAAGGGTTCCGGGGGCTGACACAGGTGCAGGGGGGCGGGGGAAGGAGGGGTGCACGGAAGTCAGACCCGCTAAACGGAGCCCGAAGGACTCCGGGGGGGCTGGCACAGGTGCGGGGGGGGCGGGGGAAGGAGGGGTGCACGGAAGTCAGACCCGCTAAACGGAGCCCGAAGGACTCCGGGGGGCTGGCACAGGTGCAGGGGGGGCGGGGGAAGGAGGGGTGCACGGAAGTCAGACCCGCTAAACGGAGCCCGAAGGACTCCGGGGGGGCTGGCACAGGTGCAGGGGGGCGGGGGTCTTCGAGCCGGGCCGCCGGGGGAGGAGGGGGACATCGTCAGACGCACTAGACTGGGGGCTCCGAGGACGGGAAGAAGGAAGGGTAGGGGAAGGAGGGGTGCACGGAGGTCAGACCCCACTGGAGGCGGTCCGAAAGGCTCGGGGGGCTGGCACAGGGGGGGGGAGGAGGGGTGCACGGCGGTCAGACCCACTGGACGGAGCCTGAGGTGCTCTGGGGGGGGCAGGCACAGGGGCAGGAGGGTCTGACTCCCCCACCATCCCGGACACCGAGGGGCTGCCGCGACCGCTACCCTGCCCCTCCGCCTCCCTAGCTCTAGAGTAGAACACTGTGGGCCCAGACAGGCCAAAGGACGCGTCTACACCCGCCAAGGGGCCGACTTTAGAGGGCCGGCCGCTGAGGGGCTCCAGCGGAGAGAGAAACTCAGGCCCGGCCCGGTCCGCGGGCCCCGCCCCGTCCCTCCCCGCGGGCAGGCCGGACGCGGGGCGCGTCGCGCGGGCACTTGCTCACCTGGCGGCACCCACCCGGGAGGCACTTTCTTCACTCGCTCGACGCCATGTCGGGGGGACGTCACCGCGCCCGCCGCGCTCCGGCGCCCCGGCCCGGCTTCCGCGCCCGACGCACTCACTTCCGGTCTGCGGGCGTTCCCTAGCAACGCCCGGGGCCCCCAGCAGTCCGGGCCCTGGCCGGGCCAGGCCCCGGGGCCTTGGAGCCGGCCGAGCCTGCCCGCCAGCCCGCGAGACTACGGATCCCAGCATGCCCCGCGCCCGGCGGCCCGTCACCCACCGTGGCCCTTGGGCCCTCTGGGAATTGTAGTCCGTCCTCAGCCTGTCCCGGGGCGTAGCTCGGCCGCTCCTGCTCTAGGGTACGCGGCTCCTTTCAGGGCCCGAGGGTCCTGGACGCAGGTCTGGCTCCTCGACCGAACCTGGAGACTCGGTGCTGTGGCGGGGGCCGGAAGGTCAGGGTCCTCGCGTAGAGGAGTGCATGCTGGGATTTGTAGTCCACACATTCCTCCAGGGAGGCGACCACTTGTACCTCTTTGGATGCTCGCAGATACAAAGTGGTGTGGGGGCAAGGGGAGGGGAGGGGAGAGGGATTCATGGCCCATAGCAGCAATTCATTTTCGGAAACAATAAAGAAGAAAAAATCCCTTCAGATGGTACTGTGCTTTTCCCCAAAACTTCATTTATAGGGAGTGCCCTGTATATAGATGGATGGATAGATAGATAAATGAATCTTAGGACACCCTCTATTTTTTTTATAATAATACTTACGTACAAATACCTAATTTGAGCCTTGCAGCAAAACCCTGGGAGGCAGTCATTATTATCTCTAATGTAGAAATTAAGAAACTAAGGCAAAGAGGTTAAGTAACTTGCTTAAGGATACACAGCTAGTAAATATCTGAGGCTACATTTGAACTTAGGTCTTCTTGACTCCAAGTCTGATGCTCTATCCACCCAGCTACAACTTCAACTGTGCCCTCCAAAACTTCTCACCCCTCCTCAAACTTCCCAAAGCTCCCCGTCCACCACCACCACCCAGCTGAGATTCTTGCCTTATGTTTTACCAAAAAAAAAAATGAGGTCATTCACTGTAACACCTTCTTCCTCATCTCCTATCACTCAGGTGTCTTCTGCCACAGTCTCCTCCTTCACCCTAGTGTCACATGATGAATCAGCCTTACTCCTTACCAAGGCTAACCCCTCCACCTGCTTAAGCCTTCTCATCTCCAACAGATTGCTGCCTCTATCATTCCCCACTCTTGCTTATCTTCAATCTCTCCCTGTCTACTAGTACCTTCCCTACCGCCTACAAACATGCCCATGCCTCCCTCACCCTCAAAAAATTCTCACTTGATCCTTTCATCCCCACTAACTATCATCCTGTACCTCTTCTGCCTTTTGTGGCTGGACTCCTTGAAAAGGCCCATCTACAATAGGTGCCTCTACTTTCTCTTTCCTCACTCTTTTCTTAACCTCTAACAATCCGGCTTCCAAACTCATCATTTCAGTGGAAGTGCTCTCTCCAAAGTTACCACAGATCTAATATTAAAATCCAATGGATTTTTTTTTCAGTCCTCATTCTCCTCAATCTCTCTAACGTCTTTGACCCTGTTGGTCACTCTCTCTTTCTTGATACTGTCTTCTTTCTAGGCCTTCTGGACATCACTTTCTCCTGATCCTCCTCCTATCTATCTGACAGTACCTTTCTTCTTTACTGGATCCTCTTCCGGATCATGCCCTTTATCTGTAGGTGTCACTCAGAGTTCCATCCTGGGCCTTATTCTCTTCTTCCCCTATACTCTTCAGCTCCCATGGATTAATAGCTATGTTGACGATTCTCAGATGTTCTCATCTGGTCTTAACCTCTCTGCTGACCTCCAGTCTCACACTTCCAACTGTCTTTCAGACATCTCTTACTCAATGTGTCCCACTAATGCCCTGTTGGTGAAGTTGTGAACTGATCCAACCATTCTGGAGAGCAATTTTGAACTATGCCTAAAGGGCAATCAAACTGCCTACACTCTTATCTAGCTACCACTTACTAGGTCTGTATCCCAAAGAGACCATAAAAAAAAGGGGGGAAAGGACCTATGTACTAAAAATTATAGCAGCTCTTTTTGTGGTGGCAAAGAATTGGAAATTGAGGGGATGCTCATCAATTGGGGAATGGCTAAACAAGTTAGGTCATATAAAAGTAATGGAACACTATTGTGAAAAACCTGGAAAGACTTACATGAACTGATGCAAAGTGAAGTGAGCAGAGCCAGGAGGACACTGGACACAGTAACCACAACATTGGGCCATGATCAACTACGATTGACTAAGCTCATCTCAGCAATACCATGATCTAAGACAATTCCAAAAGGCTCATGATGGAAAATGTTGTCCACATCCAGAGAAAGAACTGATTGATTGTGAATGCAGATCAAAGCATACCGTTTTCACTTTACTTTTTGTGATTTTTCTTCTTTTGTTCTGTTCTTCTTTTATAACATGACTAACATGGAAATATTTTACATGGCTGTACATATACAACCTATATCAAATTGCTTACTGTCATAGGGAGGGGGGAGAGAAGGGAAGAAGGGAGAAAATTTGGAACTCAAAATTTTATAAAAAATGTTAAAAATGTCTTTACATTAATTGGGGGGAAATACTATTTTAAAAGGGGAAACAAAATAAAAAAAGAAAAAACTCAACATGTCCCAAACTGAACTCATTATCTTTTCCCCTAACCCTTCCCCTCTCCTGCCTTCCCTGTTATTATAGAGTGCACCAACTTCTTAGTCCCTCAGGTTCATAATTTAGATGTCATTCTTTGCTCCTCAGTAATTCTCCCGCCCCTTCCCCAATCCAATCTGTTGCCAAGGCTTCTCATTTCACCTTTGTAACGTTTCTCAAATACTCTCCCTCCTTTCTTCAGCCTGGTCCAGACTCTCACCTCCTCACACCTGTACTATTAGAATAGCCAGCTGGTGGGTCTGTCTGTCCTGTTTCTCCTCGCTCCAATCCATCCTCTATTCAGCCACCAAAGTGGTTTTCCTAAAGTTCAGGTATGATCATGTCACACATACACCCCCTCACCCCACCCCAAACCCTGGAACTCAATAAACTCCAGTGGCTCCCTATTGCCCCCAGGAAGAAATACAAAATGTTTTGTTTGGCTTTCAAAGCTGGTCATAACTTAGCCGCTTCCTACCTTTCCAGTTTTCTTTCACCCTACTCCCCATTCTTTGATCCAGTGACACTGGCCTTCTGGCTTTTTTAGGAACAATGTACTCCATCTCTTGGCTCCCAGTGTTTTCTCTATCTGTCCCCCATTGCCTGAAATACTCTCCCCCTCCTTACTGCCTACTGCCTTCCTGGTTTCTTTTAAGTCCCAACTAAAATACCATCTACAGGAAGCCTTTCCCAGCCTCTCTGAATTCTAGTGCCTTCCCTCTGTTAATTGTTTCCTATTTCTCTGGTTTGTAGTAAGTACAGATTTGCTTACTTTCTCCCCCATTTGATTGTGAGCCCCTTGGGGGTTCATGCTTCTTTTTGTATCCCCAGAGCTTTGCATAATGCCTTGCTCTTAGTAGTTGCTTTAATCAATGTTTCTTGACTGACCACCTGGCAATTATTTGTTCTGACAATTGTCATATCCAACATTTATATAGCACTTTAAGCTTTGCAAAGTATCTATCCCATTTGATCCTCACAAAAACTCTGGAAGGCAAGTGCAATTACACCATTTTACAGATGAAGAAACTGAGACTGAGAGAGGTTAAATAGATTTCCCCAGCTGGCCCTCACCAGGGCACATCAATCAGCTAATCAAAAAGTACAGTGCTAAGCAAAGAAAAATTTTGCTTTCCTGGATCACTTCCTTCCCTTCCTTCTTTCCTTTCCCTGGGTCTGTTCAAAGTAATATTTGTGTACTAAACAAAAAGGGCCTGTAGATTTATTTTCACTCTCCTGCAGAGGACATTAAAAAAAAACTTTTTAAAATTACTAAGCATTTATTTTCTCTTCCTCCCACACTTCCCTTCACCCATGGAAAACAATAACAACAAAACCCTTGTGGCAAATATGCAGATACAAAACAAATTCTCACATCGGCCTTGTCCAAACATACATCTTTCTTTCTGCAACAGGAGTCTCTCACCTCCCTATCAAGAAGAAGGGTAGAATCCTTTATCATCCAGCAGTGCAGGGGCTGGGCGTTGCATTTGTCTGAGAGTTGAAGGCTCTCAAAGTAACTGACGACATCAATGTTTGTAACAATGTTGCAGTTGTGTATACATTGTTTCCTGGTAGCCGAAGGCAGCTTTTGAGACTCCCCCTCGTCCTTTCTTCTGCCCTCTGCTGACTCCACTTTCATCTCCCTGGGCTGGTCCCCTGCCTCACCTTCCATCCTGAGCCCCACAGGTGGGCAAAGGAGGTATCTGAAACATCATCAGCCCGTGTTCTAGAGCAGCACTGCTGGCATCAGAGATATTGGGCAATCAGTATCACTCAACGGACTTTCTAAATCTACTGCAAACTTTTAAGAGTCAGTTTTAAAACTGCCTTTAGCATCTAGAGCCAATAATCTCAACCCAAAAGCAAAAATACACTCACACTGAAAGAAATTAAACAAATTTTTCAAAAAGTTGTAAAATTTGTGCATGCGCAAATGAACTTCTGTAATGCTGGAATAAATAGCGAAGTTCGGGGAAACATTGTAGAAGAAAATAAAAACCTGTTTCCGCCCGGTTTCGAACCGGGGACCTTTCGCGTGTTAGGCGAACGTGATAACCACTACACTACGGAAACTTGCCTGCCGCGAGTCTTGGGAAAGGGCCTGATAATGATGTCGCGATGCTTTCCCCACCGAGGATCTCGCTTTACCTCTTGTTCAAGGAAGCCAATAGAAATGAAACTGATCTATCCTTCCGAGCTTCTCAGAGGTCGGGGAGAAAGCGAAAAGCCGGAACGGATAATGGGGAGACAGGAAGAGGGCACGACTCTATCAGAAGGATGCAGAATGAGACTCACATTTTTGGACGTGGCCAAAGAGGGAATTTTTTTCTTTTAACTAAGCATGGTCGTTAGAAGGGCCTTA